GCTTTATAAACAAGTTGGGCAAGCCATGGAGCCCTTCTCTATAGCAGAGGTTTTATTTGGCCCTTGTGTGTAGTCCCTGGGGTGCTTTAAAGAATGCTTACCTGATCTCCACAGGGAGTCAGTTTGGTGGAATGTTGGTGGGTTACCATCCTGCATCTCCTTCATCCCCTCCTCCCCATTTCTTGGCTCCCCTGCAGTGCCAGAAAGATATGCTTGTTGCATGGTACTTTAGCAAGTAGGTAACGGCAGGTATTAGTTAGCAACTACAGCAGACAAAGGGCTTGACTGCTCAGAGGCAAGCTGCTCTCTCCCACCACACTGTCACCACCTGGCTTCTCGATCTTAGACTGGGTTGGGCTTCATCTCACCTTCAGAGACCCCACAGCCATTGCAGCTGCTCGGTGCTGAGCCGACCCACAGGGCTGAAACCTCGTTCACCTTACCAGCAGGCGGGACCAGATTTCTTTTCCTGACAGTTGCTACCTTCCTCCTCAATTCTGGTTTCCTTCCTCTTTTCTCCCCTCCCTCCCTTCCTCCCTCCTTCCCTCCCTCCTTCCTTTCTTCCTTCCTTCCTCCCTCCTACTTCTGTCCTCCCTTCCCTCCCTCCATTTTATCTTACCCTTGTTTCCTTCCTCCCTCCCTCCCTCCCTTCTTCCCTTCTTTCCCTCTCTCTTCCCCTCCCTCCCTTCTTTCCTTCCTTCCCTTCTTTCCTCCTTCCTTCTTTCCTTCTGCCTTCCTTTTCAGCTAGTTCACAGTATTCTTTTCCTGTACCACTCCCTATGTGGTGGCCAAGAGTTTGTTCATTGTCTTGTGACACCCGTGATCCCAGGGGTGTTTGACAGTGTGTACCAAGCTATGGTCTATTAAATACAAGCCCTCCAAAACTTCATGCAGAAAGACTCTGGGGCTAAGTAGCTTTGGGAATCTTGCTTGTGATAAGCCCCACTGCCCATTCCCATAAGAAAGTCTTAAAGAAGTCCTTTGATCAAGAACTCCTTGATACTTTCTTTTCAAGCTCCCCAAACTTTTTGCCAAAGGAACCCTCCTCCTGAGTAGCAGCCACTGACATGCAGTATTAGCAGTTTCTGTGGGACCCACTCTTGGAAACATCAGACTTGATGCTGTCCGAGGCTGCCTCCAGATCCAGAGTTCTAGTTTATTCATTCACTGACAGCCCCCTTGAAAGGCCTGTGGGCCTTGCATGGCAGGAATGAGGTGCCAGGCAAGTAACACTCAGTGGAGGAGGATGGGAGAAGGGGTTATGGTGGTGAGAAATCCCTGATGGCTGTGAGCCCCTCTGGAGTTGAACCTGGAGGGCGTGTGGATGAGGGACCGGGAGAGGAGCGGGCACTGATAACGATCCCAATTTGTCTTTTTGTATGTGGCCCTGGCTATAGCAGGGATGGTTTTCAAAAGCATTGTTCAGTAGGTATTTTTCACTGAAAAATGTTCTGAGATTGACAAGTAGGATGGGGAGGGCCAGGTTAATTCTGTGGCATAGATGTGCTCCCTTCTTATAACAGAAAGAACATCTTTAGCAGTCTGTCCAGTGGAATAGGAAAACCATGTAATCAGGATTAGCTGTGAGCTCATACCTCTATAATAAATGAATGCTCTGTGGGTGAGAATTCATGTAACAGTTTTAATTAAGATAACTGCAGAGGAATGGGAAGGACCCCTTAGTAAGTGACGCTAATGAATGGATGAAGCGCTTCCCTGCCCCTCCCAGGAAAATGAGACTCAGTCACTAATTGGCGTAATTAGCCCTGGAAGTTAAAAGATTTTCCCCTTTTTTCCTCCTTTCTTTAGCTTTAGAGTGCCTGGGCTTTTTGGTTTTGATTGCTTGGTCACCCCTTCTTTCCTCTATGAAAGGTCAGGTTGCTTTGGCAGCTTGTCTGAACCCCCTTTCCAGATGGTAATTGGGAGCCTGAATCTGGTCCACAGGACTGTACCACCTGGTTGGGGTGAAATTGGAGTCAGACGTTAGTGTCTGCCTCTTTCAAAACCCTTGCTAGGATTGGTTCAAATGTGTTTTTAGGCAGTTCTAGGGTAAGCCTGAATTTATACTTGATAAAAGGTTCTTAACTTTTTTAAAAGAAGGCAGCTCAAAACAGAGCAGAAGGATGCAATAAGTTGTGTGTTGCTATGGAAATAATTGAATGAAAACTTAATTTCCTACTGTACTTATTGACCAGGAAGAAAAGAGAGAGGAGAAAAGGAAAGGTCTCTCTAAGCAGAAACACACGGACTGAGAATGTAATTAATAATAATTGAAGAATATGTCACCCCAAGGGTTTCTCCAAGGAGGCTGATCTCCCTGACAGAAATGGCAGCATCCTCTTTTAGCTGCCTCTTTGTGATGGGGCAAGAGTGTGCAGGCAAACCCCAGGGACTTGAAGCCCTGAGAAGCCTCTGGCTTGAGCTCCCAGAGAAAGTGAAAAGTTGCTTTGTGATTCATGGAGAAACCAGCTCCGGGGCTCCAGGGATGCTGCTCTGAAGGGGTTTCGATGCCAGGTTGGTTTAAAGTTCAAAATCCAAAACAAGGTTCTTTGAGAAGTTCCTACTCTAGTAGGTTTCACAGTGAATTCTTTCAATGGTGTTCTATTAAAATTCAAGGACATGGGTCACATGAAGCATTAGTGGGCAGATTCTTTACATATTATACAAAAGGAAATGGCACTAACATGATTTATGTCTTCAAATCTTATTCTAATTTTCTATCCCCTTACATAGAGTAATAGATAAGTCTGGGTCATATTTTTGTTTCCCTAACGGTGAGTGCTACCTCTTAATTAATAGTACAACTTCGTTTGCATCTGTGTCTGATGGAAGCATCAGCTGATGGGGTTGCCAAGTCATAACTGGCCTTTCCACCTTAAGCCAGTGGCAAAGCTTCGCTGCATAATACAATTGCCTGGGGAGATTTGTAAAATCCCAATGTCCGGGCTACACACTGAAACCAGTTAAAATAGAATCTAATGGATGGGACTCAGGCATCAGTTCTGTTGTTGTTGTTGTTGTTGTTTTTGAGACAGAGTCTTGCTCTGTTGCCCAGGCTGGAGTGCACTGGAGTGATCTTGGCTCACTGCAACCTCCGCCTCCCTGGTTCAAGTGATTCTCCTGCCTCAGCCTCCCAAGTAGCTGGGATTACAGGAGCCTGCCACCATGCCCGGCTAATATTTGTATTTTTAGTAGAGACAGGGTTTCACTATGTTGGCCAGTCTGGTCTCCAACTCCTGTCCTCAGGTGATCCACCTGCCTCAGCCTCCCAAAGTGCTGGGATTACAGGTGTAAACCACCGCGCTCACCTCAGTATTTTTTTTAAAGCTCCTCAGGGGATTCCACAGTGCAGGACTGACAGCCGTTAATGTAGGTGGAGTTAAACAAAACTCTATAGGGCTGGTGGGCCTCCTATGTGATAGTCCATGTTAGAAAAATCCACTTCCCCGCCCAGAACCCCTTCCACGTCTTCCTAGGGCTCCATGGTCCCAATGGGGCTAAAAGCTCAGGGTCCTTTCTGCCTTCCTTCCAGTGGTATGCAAATGTTTAACAACCCACTCCAGGGAATGAAAAAAGCCCTGATGCTTAGCATGTGCTGATTTCCAGATTCTGTAAATACTCCCACCACGGTCTCCTCATCCTACCAAGGGGCCATCACGGAGCATGGGGTTGGGAAATGTGCACAGCCATCTCCAGACACCAGTGCCTCGTCCCCTGCTTCACAGTTCCTCACCCCTCCTCTGTGTCCACCCCGAGTAGCTCATTCTCCCTTAGGTGCTGTTCAGAGTTTCGAGTCATCTAGAAAAATCCTTTTCTGCTTGTGTGATATGCTGGCTTGCCCCACTCGGGTAACACAATACCACTTCCCAGTTACAGTGTAGATAACCTCTGGAAAACACCACGGGAATGTGCCTGAGGCTGGAGATGTTTAGGCAATTGGCCTCCTGGGTTATACTTTACCCTGTGAAGCTAAGGTGAATTGTGCTACATACACAGCACATGAGGTGTCTGAGCCTGCAGGGCAGAAAGCCAGGCTCTGAGTCAGAACATACTCATCAAGGTAACAAGGGGACTTTATGTGAGGCAGCCTGCTAGCCTTTGTGGGTTGATTGCCTTCACCTCATCACTTCTCTTTCCCCTGCGTTACAAAGCACTTTCACATGACTTTTCTTTCTTTCCTTTTTTTTTTTTTTTTTAAGATGGAGTCTTGCTCTGTCATCCAGGTTGGAGTGCAGTGGTGCAATCTCGGCTCACTGCAACCTCTGCCTCCTTGGGTTTAAGCAATTATCATGCCTCAGCCTCCCAAGTAGCTGGGATTACAGGTGCCCACCACCACACCCAGCTAATTTTTGTATTTTTGGTACAGATGGGGTTTCACCAGGTTAGCCAGGCTGGTCTCAAACTCCTGACATCAGGTGATCCACCCGCCTTGGCCTCCCGAAGTGCTGGGATTACAGGCATGAGCCACCGCACCTGGCTTCACATGACTTTTCTCACTGGATTGCTGCTGTTTACCTAGGAAAACCAAGCAAATACTATCTTCCAGCTGCAGGTGAAGAATTCTGCCTAAGCTCAGAGAGGTCAAGTGTAGTGACTCACCCAAGTTTGAGCAACTTGCCCAAGCTAGAAGGTGATAGAGCCAGGACCTGAAGCCAGAGCTTCTGACTCCCTCCTTACACACACATGGCTTCTGACACACAGCTTTTGTCTACCGGCCCCCTCCACTCAGGTGTGCGGTCTGTCAACTTAGGTAGAAGAGGAAGTAACCCTGCTTTGCAGTCTTGTGAATTATTAGGTTGGTGCAAAAGTAATTGCGTTTTTTGCCATTAAAAGCCTAATAATTTTTTTTGCCAGTCCTGCTTTGGAAAGCTGTTATCTGAAATGAAACATGGGCTTTGTGGTCTCATAAAGAACATGTTCCAAGTTGGTAAATATTAAGTTTGGGCTGTACTATCAATGGCTCATGCAGTATGAATGGCTGATGGGCTATGATTCTACAGAGTCAGAAACAACCTCTGTTGAGATTGCATCGAATCCAGAAGACACCTGGGACTCTAAGATGTGGCTGCGGAAATATGGCTTGAAGGCCCAGAAGCTGTCCCTGTATGATGTCCTTGCTGACTGCTCTTTTCGCCACGCTGATGGGGTTGTAGATATAAAAGCCAAACCGGAGAACGAGTCGGTACAAACCAGTGCGGTAGGTGACGTGCGCTCCCGGGAGGGGGCTGGTGAAGGCAACTCAAGCCCTGGGTGGGTGAGACCTCCCTCGGGTCGGAAGGCAGGGAAAGAACCACTGTGGGGGCCGGCAGGGACAGAAACCAGCTTGGGTTTCTGTGAAGCAGGGGGTTCCTCTGCTTCTCTCCTCCCCCTTCTCCAAAGAGCATCTGTGGGAGTGGAAATCAAGGCTGGGAATGATTTCTAGACATCAGTGAATTGTATGTAAGCCAGGGGCTGGGCTTGGAAGAATGAGGCATTATGAGTCTCAGAATCATTCAATATTATGCAAATGGAGAAGCCCTTTGTTCCTCCATATGGAATGTAAAAAAGAGAAGCTGCTGGTTAGTATATCCAGTGCGGCAGGCGTTTCTGTAGTCCTCTTGCGTGTTCTTTCCCTCATTATTCCAGTGACTAGCAAGCAGCCAGCATACAGTGCAATCCCAGCAAATACGGAATCAGATTCTCCAAAGGGTCATAGCCATTTAAAACGCTGAAGGCGGCAGTTCCACTGTGGGTTTTGTAGGAATGCAGCTTCTCCTACTGCCCGACTCTGGCTCCCGATGAAGGACAGTGCTCGACAGCAGTGCTTCCTAAACTCCACCGTCATGCCTACGAGTCAGTAGTTGCGAAGTGGGGCCCAAGAAGTTGCATCCATAGCAATCCCCAGATGATGCTGATGCTGTTGGTCCAGGGGCCACACCTTGAGACGCAGAGAGGTGTAGAACAGGGACCAGAAGATGAGGTGTCAAAGGTTTAGAAGCATGGAAAGACTAAGGAGTGTCCCAATATGAACCAGAAATCAGGATAAAATGAACATGGCAGATTTACAAAACCAAAGGAAAGCTCTTTCAGGAGGCGGCAAAGTCCCAGGTACACACAGTGAAGTGAACCTAAAATGCAAGCCCCGGGCAGACAGGCAGCTGACCACAGCCCAGAGGAGACACCGGGGAGAGAAAATCAAGGCCCCTCTCAAATACAGTGTCACCTCGTGTATTCATATACAAATGAACACAGTGTCACCTCAAATACAGTGTCACCTCATATATTCTTGAAGGCTCCGATTCAATGGCAAGGTCGTTACTGAGATGTTGTAGCTCCAGAAGAGGTGGAACTCCAGTCCCATTGCCACTTTTTATTAGGCTGGCCAGCCACTGAGCCCCCCACGCCCTCCATGGGAAGGGCACTGTCCTCTGGGGCTGTGCGAGCCACACCACATGGTGTTCTTGCCCCCTCGCTGCTGTGCATTCATGACAAACTGAAGGAAGGAAAATATAAAAATTGAATTAGAAAAATGCAGAATTGATGCAAGACTTGTTTCCTGGCTTACCCTAGGATGCAGAGTAATGGCTACAGTGCAGGGAAAATCTCATTTGTGGGTTTCCTCCCCCAGCACAATTTTCTTGTTTTATAGACATTATTCAGTAATGTTCAGGAAATCATATGTAGCTAGATTTTCATTTTAAAAATAGGCCAGGCGCAGTGGCTCATGCCTGTAATCCCAACTGTTTGGGAGGCTGAGGCAGGCGGATCACTTGAGGTCTGGAGTTCGTGACCAGTCTGGTCAACATGGTGAAACCCCATCTCTACTAAAAAAAATAGAGCCAGGCATGATGGCTCATGCCTGAATCCCAGCACTTTGGGGGGCCAAAGTGGGTGGATCACGAGGTCAAGAGATCGAGACCATCCTGGCCAACATGGTGAAACCCTGTCTCTACTAAAAATACAAAAATTAGCTGGGGATGGTGGCATGCACCTGTAGTCCCAGCTACTTAGGAGGCTGAGGCAGGAGAATTGCTTGAACTCGGGAGACGGAGGTTGCAGTGAGCTGAGATCGTGCCACTGCACTCCAGCCTGGTGCCTGCCAACAAAGCAAGACTCTGTCTAAAAAAAAAAAAAAAAAAAAAAAATTAGCCAGGTGTCGTGGCACATGCCTACAATCCCAGCTACTTGGGAGGCTGAGGCAGAACTCAGGAGGCAGAGGTTGCAGTGAGCTGAGATCAAGCTATTGTACTCCAGCCTGGGCAACAGAGTGAGACTTCATCTCAAAATTAAATTAAATTAAATTAAATTAATATATATTAGAACTTGGATATTTCAAAATATTAATCCCCGGCTATTTGAACATAGCTTACTGCAAACTCATGACAACCTGGTATATTCACGCTAGCTCTAATATTGATCATTTCGTGTAACTCTTTCTTGGCAATTTTAAATGACATACTGAAACTGGATTCACACCTAAAATTGTGATGTGTATAAAGTAGGGAGAAACTAAGGCCGTGAAATAGGTAGATTATTTAGGGTTCCCCCAGACTCCCACTGGGCAGGACTCCCTAAGTATTTAACAATAAAAACTAGTTTATAGTTTTGATTGTTATAGACCAAGGAAACTCATTAATGCTGAGAAATGAATGGCTAAAAAGGCCTGCTTTTGTAGCAGTTCAAAGACAATGAAAAATTGGGAGGAGGAGACAAACATGCATTTCTAATAAGGGAATTTCAGGCCAAGTCTAAGAACTTGATATTTAGGGCATCCCTGAAATCACACTGCATGCACAGTTGCTTGCTGCTTGTGCACAAAACCAGCCTTGATGTTCAAAAACCCATTCTTGTCTCTTCATCTAATTTTCAAACAAGTATTTATGGAGCTCCTACTATGTACCAGGCCATGCTATATGGCAGAAGACACACTGGATGTGGATGAGAAGTTCTAGTCATAAATGCTGCTTCTACTAGTTACTCATGATGAGATGTTGAACAAATCACGTGACTTCTTTGACTTCACCCTTCATATTCATGAAATGGATAGTGTAAAGTGCAAATTTACAAATGCATGTCTGAGCATAGTGCCTGGCACATAAAGAGATGCCCCACACTTTTTGGTGGGGTTGTTTGTTGTTGTTGTTGTTTTGGTAAATTTGTTTAAGTTCTTTGTAGATTCTGGATATTAGCTCTTTGTCAAATGGGTAGACTACAAAAATTTTTTCCCATTCTGTTGGTTGTCAATTCACTCTAATGATAGTTTCTTTTGCTGTGCAGAAGCTCTTAAGTTTAATTAGATCCCATTTGTCTATTTTGGCTTTTGTTGCCATTGCTTTTGGTGTTTTAGTCATGAAGTCCTTGCCCATGTCTATGTCCTGAATGGTATTGCCTAGGTTTTCTTCTAGGGTTTTTATGGTGTTAGGTCTTATGTTTAAATCTTTAATTCATCTGGAGTTAATTTTTGTATAAGGTATAAGGAAGGGATCCAGTTTCAGGTTTCTGCATATTGCTAACTAGTTTTCCCAACACCATTTATTAAATAGGGAATCCTTTCCCTGTTCTTGTTTTTATCTGCTTTGTCAAAGATCAGATAGTTGTGGATGTGTGGCATTACTTCTGAGGCCTCTGTTCTGTTCCCTTGCTCTATATCTCTGTTTTGGTACCAGTACCATGCTGTTTTGATTACTGTAGCTTTGTAGTATAGTTTGAAGTCAGGTAGCATGATGCCTCTAGCTTTGTTTTTGTTTTGTTTGTTTGTTTTGTTTTTTTTTGCTTAGGATTGCCTTGGCTATGTGAGCTCTCTTTTGGTTCCATGTGAAGTTTAAGGTGTTTTTTTCCAATTCTGTGAAGAAAGTCAATGGTAGCTTTTTTTTTTTTTTTTTTTTTTTAGAATACACACTGCTGGTTATCCCCGCACCTTGCTGGCTATTTTTTCTGTCTTCTTTGTGACTTCTTCCCCATGTCCCCAATGTGTCAATGCTGGAGGATCTCTTATCGCTTCTCTGTCTACACTCATTTCCCAGATGGTCTTCTCTAGTCCCATGGCTTTTAATCCTCTGTGCATACCAGGGACTTCAAAATGCACCCCTCCAGCCCTGTGACCTTCTCTGATCTCCCAACTACTGCTGTGCTACTTGGATGTCTCATCAGCACCTTGAACCTGAGATATCAGATGCTAACTCTTGATCTTTCCCATTCAAAGCTGCTCTCCCACAACCTTCCTCCTATCAACTGATTGCAACTCCACCCTTTCAGATCCCAGCCTGAAAACCTCAGTGTTGTTCCTGACTCCTCTCTTTCCTTGTATATGCACATCTGATCTCTCAGTGAACACTGTCAATTCTGTCTTCAGAACAGGCCTGTCATTCAGGATCTGACCACTTCTTGTCATGGCCTTTGCTGCCCAGGCCATGCAACTCTGTGACCCACTGGTTCTTCACTTCTGCCCTTGGTCCTCAGCAGTCCAGTCAGCTTTTCAGAGTAACCAGAGTTGTGCTGTGAAACCATAAATCAGACATATTGCTGCTCTTGTGAAAGCCCTGGGAGGAGTCCTTTTTCACTCAGAGCAAAAGCCAGGTCATTTCCGACAGCTGTCAGGCTTTATGGGACCTGCTCCTAACCCTCCTCTTTGTGTGTCCCGGCTTCTCTTACTCTCTCTTCCCTCCCTCACTTTCCTTTGGCAATATTGGCCTTCCTAAAATTTGACAAGCATGCCAGGCAGACTTCCAGCTCAGGCCTTTGCTGTTGCTGTGTCTCCTGACCTCCTCCCGGCCTTCCTATGGCCACACTGTTTCTCCAGGCCTTCACTCCTAGTGCACTGTCTCTGGGAGTTTTTCCCTGCAAGGTTCTAACTCCTCCCATCTCTTCCCTCTTCTCTGCTCTCTGCTTTTCCTCCTTGCCTTACTCCACGTGTCATCTTCTGACCTAGTGTGTCATGATTTGCTTATTACTGGGCTCCCCCGCTGCACTGTGAACTCCATGAAGGCAGGGGTTTGGTCATTGTGGGTGTGTGTATTTCTGGCATCTAGAAGGTCTCCCAGCGGGAGGAGCACTGGATGAACGCCCATGGGCCGAGTGATGGAGGCCTACTGAGGAGAGCTCCGTCTGTCCCGGTTGAGGGTGCTAGATGTGCTGCAGTGGGGTTCTTGGCAGGAAAGTAGGATTCATGTGAGTTTCAGTCCCACCTCCTCCAGAATGCTCTGTGATCGTCTAGTCTACTGTGAGATTGGCTGCTCTCTCATCTTTACCAGGACTTGCCAGGTCTTTCCTGTGTCAACCCAGTTCCAGGGACTGAGTATCTAATTCTCTGCATTGCTACCGTTCTCTCTTTCTCTCTCTCTCTCCATATGTGTGTGCATGTGTGTGTTGGTGAGGGTGTCTTTGTGCTGGAATCCTTAGGTTTTCTGGGACACAGATGTGATCACACGTGTCCTTCTGGCCCATGTTCATGACACCTAGTGCAGGGCTCCATAGGGAGCAGGCAGCGGAACATATTTGGTTGAACTAACAAAGGAATGATTGACGGTAGAGTGAGTGCTAAGAGCCATTTGAATATGATAGAGCCAAAGGTGCCATCGGGAGACTCTTCTCTTTGGACAGTTTCTGAGTGGCTTCTGTCCTTTGTCCTCTCCTTAGGAGACCAACAAGAAGACAGTCCATGCAAAATACTGCAGCAGGTTTGTCCATGCTCCCTGGAAGGATGGGAGCTTGGTCCATGTCAACATTACCAAAGAGAAATGCAAGTGGTACAGTGAGAGAGTCCACACAGCCCTGGCCCGGATCCGAAGGAGGTTGGTGTTATTTGCAGGAGGGTACAAGTGGTCTCCTTGCTCTGGAAATTCACATCTGCTTGATCATTTTTCCTCCCTTTTATTATTAGCTCACACATAATGATTGTACCTATTTATGTGATACAGAGTGGTAATGAGGTGTGTGTATACAATGTATAAAGATCAAATCAGGGCAACTCACACATACATCACCTCAAACACACATCAGTTCTGTATGTTGTGAACATTCACAGTTCTCTCATTTCACTTTTTAAAAATATATACTAAATTACAGCTGACCATATTGATCCTCTAGTGCTGCGGAACACCAGAGCTTGTTCCTCCTATTTAGCTAAACTTGTATTCGCTAACCAACCTCCCCATCCTCTCTCCCTGCCTTTCGCAAACTCTAATACAATTCTACTCTCTACCTCTATACGTTCAGATATTTTTAGCTCCCACATATGAATGAGAACATGTGGTATTTATCTTTCTGTGCTTGACTTATTTTGCTTAACATAATGTCTTGTAGGCTTATCCATGCTGCTGCGAAGACAGAACTTTATTCTTTTTTATGGTTGAGTGGTACTCCATGGTGTATAAATACTAGTAAACGCTCAACTGAGAGAAAGTGCCAGCAAACACTGTTAAGGTTGCCATCTGTTGGTTTGCTCATAGCCTTGTTTTTTTAAAAAGGGGTTGTTTGGATTCAGATTCCCAGCTGCCTTGATGCCAGCGCAGTTTATTAAAAACAGCAAGCAAACGTGAAGCTGTCACACTGGTCACATGTTGCTGTAGGAGGCTAAGGAATGCCTCTATTTCATATCTTGCATTCTTTCCTAGGCCACACTGTATTACCCACTGTGTTACATATTTCCTCTGTACTCTTGAACATTACATTTTGAGGCAACTGTTATAATGTAAAATATTAAATACCATTGAATAATATCTGTATTTTAGAATACAGCTTAAAATCACTTCATGTGATCCCACACAACCCTGCTGGTTCTTTAAAATGTGTTAATGCTCATGAGTGTGGATACTAATGCTGTGACCTATGGTTGGCCTCAGGGGGATGATTTATATTAATGCCTGCTCCTTCCCAGAGCCAAAGGCAGCTTTAGACCAGAAGACCAAATTCATTTAGATCATAGGCTCTGAGGTCAGAGAGAGCTGGATTCTAATCCCAGAACTGCCACTTACTGTGTGACCCTGGGCACGTTTGTTAATGTCTTTATGCATCATCATCCTTGTTTATAAAGTGGGATTAGTAATATTATTTATAAGTTTGTTCTAGGGATTAGATCCGATACTAAATCTAATGCGTTTAAGCTAGTATCGGTATGAAATAGCTGTTTGAAAATGAGAGCTCCTTTCTGTGCCTGCCTTGTTTCACCTAACATAATTTCCTTCAGTTTAATCCATGTCGCCACAAATGAGAAGATTTCATTCTGTTTTATGGCTAACTAGTATTCCACTGTGTATGTGTGTGTATGTATATATACACAGGCATGCGTACACATCATGTTTTCTTCATTAGATGGGCATTTAGGTTGATTCTATATTTCTGGTACTGCGAATAGCACTGCAATAAATGTGTGGATGCCAGGGTCTCTTTGACTTGCTGATTTTATGTCCTTTGGAGATATACCTAGAAATGATATTGCTGGATCATGTAGTAGTTCTGTTTTCACTTATTTTTTTTAGGGACCTCCATACTGCTTTCCATGACGGCTGTACTAATTCATATTCCCATCAACAGTGTGTAAGACCTCCCTTTTCTCTACATCCTTGCTGGCATTTTTTTTTTTGTCTTCTTGATAATAACTATTTTAACTGGGGTGAGGTGCTATCTCTTTGTGGTTTTGATTTGATGATTACAGTAGTGCTATTGAACGTATTTTCACAAATCTGTTGGTTTCATATATTTGTATGTCTTCTTTTGAGAAATGTCTGTTCAAGTCTTTTGTCCATTTCAAAATCAAATTATTTGCGGGTTTTTTCTTTCTTTTTTGTGTTGAGTTCTTTTATAATCTAGATATTATCACCTTGTTGAATGCATACTTTGCAAATCCTTTTTCCCATTCTGCAGGTTTTCTCTTCACTTTATTGATGATTTCCTTGGCTTTGCAGAAGCTTATTCGTTTGAGGTAATCCAATTTGTCTGTTTTTGCTCTTGCTGCCTGTGCTTTTGAGGTCTTATTCAAAAAATCCCTGTCCAGTCCAATTTCATGAAGTGTTTCTTCATCTTCTTCAAACATCACATGATCTGACCAATATGTGGAATCTAAAAAAAGTTGGTTTCACATAAGTAGACAATAAAATAGTGGCTTACCAGAGGCTGGGGAGATGGCAGTGGGGAGGCGGAGGACCAGAGGAGGTTGGTCAATGGGTACAAAGTTATAGTTGGACAGGAAGAATAAGTTTTAGTGTTGTACTACACAGTAGGATGACTATAGTAAAAAACAATGTAGTGTGCATTTCAGAAGCTAGGTAAGAAGGTTTTGAATGTTGTTACTGCAAAGAAACAATAAATGTTTAAAATCATGGATATAGTAATTATCCCAGTTTAATTATTATATGCAGTATACATACCTTGAAACATCACATTATACCCCATAAAATAGTTACGCAATTTATGATGTGTCAATTTGAATAAAAATTAAATTTAAAAAAGAAGGAAAATCAGAGCTCCCTTCCTCCTCCTTTGTTTTCTATTACAAAACCACAAGGTGCAGACACCCTTCTGCCCTGTATTTACCCTAAGAGTGCCAACCTCTCAAAACCAGATGGTGATAGGTTACCCAGAATGAGAAATCCCTGTGTCTGGTGTCTTCTCTGCTTGTGGTTTTGGAGCTGACTCAGTGGAGCGAGTCGTTGGGTTTCAGGTCTGGGAGAGAGGATGCTGCTGGGAAAGCAGTCCACATGGCAGCTGCCGGGCCCATTCGTCCCTCTCCTCCTGCCATATGTCAGGGATCACTGGGAAGTTTTCTTCCTCTTCTATTTTCTGGAAGACTTTGTGAAGAATTGGTATCATCTCTGCTTTAAATGTTTGGTAGAATTCACCACTGAAGCCATCTGAGCCTGGAGTTTTCTTCCTTATGAGGAGGTTTTTACCAATACATTCAATTTCTTTAAAAGCACAGAGAGCTGATACTGATAATTTTTGTCATCTTTGTGTCATCAAGAAGAACCTTGAGAAACATATGGATTGGCTTAAATGACCAATTTGAGATCTTTCTTTCTTTATAATGCAAGAATTTAATTTTATATATTTCTCTCTGAGTATTTCTTTGGCTGCTTTTCACAGGTTTTGATATATTGCATTTTATTTTCAGCCACTTTAGAATATTTTCTAATTTTCCCCATCATTTCTTCTTTGACTAAAGGGTTGTTTAGAAATGTGTTGTTTAGGCTGGGCACAGTGGCTCATGCTTGTAATTCCAGCACTTTTGGAGTCAGATCAGAAGGTCAGGAGTTTGAGACCAGCCTGGCCAACATAGTGAAACCCTGTCTCTACCAAAAATACAAAAAATTAGCTGGTTGTGATGGCGGGGTGTGTGTGGGGGGGGTGCTGTAATCCCAGCTACTCAGGAGGCTGAGGCAGGAGAATCACTTGAAACCTGGAGGCAGAGGCTGCAGTGAGCCAAGATCCTGCCATTGTACCCCAGCCTGAGCAACAGTGCAAGACTCCATCTCGAAAAAAAAAAAAATTGTGTTGTTTACTTCCCAAATATTTGTGGATTTTCCTGTTACGTCTTGTTACTAATTTCTGTTTTAACTTCACTGTAAACAGAGAAATACTGTGTGATTCAATCTTTATAAATTTATTGGGACCTGTTTTGTAGTACAGATTTTGGGGAAGAAAAATCTGGTTTTGTTAGGTGGAATGCTACAGGTATCAGTTAGCTCAAGTTGATTGATAACGTTACTCAAGTCTTTCATATTATTACTGAGTCTCTCTAGTTCTATAAATTATTGAGAAAAGAGTGCTGAAATTTCCAAATGTAGTCTTCAACTCTCATTTCAATTCTGTCTGTTTTTTCTTCATATATTTTGAGGCTCTATTAATAGTTTCATGTATATTTAAGAGTGTTATGTTCTCTTGATGAACCAACTCCTTGGTAATTATGAAATGTCCCCTTTTAAATCTCTGGTAATATTGCTTCTTCTGAAATTTATTTGATAGCAGTTTAGCCACCCTACATGATTTTTTATTATTTTTTTTCCATCATTTTATCTTTACTTGTCTGCATTCTATATTTAAATGGATTTCTTACAGACAGAAGATATATAATTATATATATGAGCATTGTTTTATTAATCCGAGCTAACAATCTTTGCCTTTTAACTGGAGTGTTAAGATCATTTACATTTAAGGTAATTATTGATTGGATTGGATTTAAATCTAAGATTTTGCTATTTGTTTTCTGGGTTTTTTTCCCCCCTTTTTATCTGTTTTTTGCCTTCTTTGGTTTGAGTGTTTTTTATTATTATAATTTATCTCCACTATTGTCTTATTACCTCTACCTGTTTTGCTCTGTTTTGATGTGTGTGTGTGTGTGTGTGTGTATGTGTGTGTGTGTGTGACTATTTAGAATTTACAATATGCATCTTATGAGTCACCCTACAAATAATATTGTATCACTTCGTGTAATTTAGAGGAGTCTTACAAATTTCATCCCACTTCCGTCCTTTCTACTGTTGTACACTTTACTTCTACACATCCTTTTACAATACATTGTAACTAAACAGTCAATTGTCTTGTAAATACATTAAAAATTAGCATAGATGTATTTTATATTTAACCACATTCTTGATATTTCCGTTGCTTTTTACTCCTTTGTAAGGCTCCAGATTTCCATTTGGTATCATTTTTTTTTCCACCTGAAGAAGTTTCATTCATATTTCTGGCAGTGCAGGTCTGTTGGTGATGAATGAGCTGTTTTAGTCTGAAAAACTCTTTAATTTACCTTTATTTTGGAATGATGTGTTTGCTAAGCATAAAATTCTGGCATTACAGTTCTATCTTTCAGTTCTTTGAAAATCCTTTTCCATTGGCTCCTGGCTGGCATGATTTATAATTAGAAGGCTCCTGTCATATTTTTGCTTGCTCCTCTACACATAATGTCTCTGGATGCTTTAAAAATCTATTTTTGTATCTAGATTTTATCAATTTTATTGAGATAAGCCTGGGTGTAGTTTATTTTCTTCTTTTTGAGTTCTTTGAGCTTCTTGGATCTGTAGGTGCATGACTTTGATCAAAATTAAAACAATTTGGTCATATTTTTTCAAATATTTTTCCTGCCTCTCCCTCTCCTCTCCTTCTTAGACTTTAATTACACATATGTCAGACTCCTTGATATTGTTCCACGGTCCAGCCACTAATTCTCTCTGATGAAAGTGCTTTTATCTTTTTTCTCTCTGTAAATTGTTTACCTTCAAATTGTTTCCTTTGCTTTGTCTTTTGTTCCCTAATCTTTTCTTCTCCTAATGTCTAATGTACTATTAATACCATGCAGTATATTTTAAATTTCAGATACTATATCTCTCTACAAGTTTTATTTGGGTCTATTTAAGTATCTTCTATTTCTCTCCTCATTCTATTTATACTTTACCTTTTTTTTTTTTTTTTTGAGATGGAGTTTCGCTCTTGTTACCCAGGCTGGAGTGCAATGGCGTGATCTCGGCTCACCGCAACCTCCGCCCCCTGGGTTCAGGCAATTCTCCTGCCTCAGCCTCCTGAGTAGCTGGGATTACAGGCACGTGCCACCATGCCCAGCTAATTTTTTGTATTTTTAGTAGAGACGGGGTTTCACCATGTTGACCAGGATGGTCTCGATCTCTCGACCTCGTGATTCACCCGCCTCGGCCTCCCAAAGTGCTGGGATTACAGGCTTGAGCCACCGCGCCCAGCCTATACTTTAACTTTTTGACCATATGAGTTATATTTGTAATCGCTGTGTAACATCCTTTTCTGCTAATTCTATCCTCTTTGTCATTTTGGGGTCTGTTTCTGTTGATCAATTTGTCTTCTTGTTATGGATCATATTTTCCTGCTTCTTTGTATGCCTGGTAATTTTTTATTGGATGCCAGGCATTTTAACTTTACTTTGTCAGGTTATGGATTTCATTGTATTTTTATGTATGTTCTTAATGCAGTTAAGTTACTTAAAACCAGTTTGATCTCTCTAGGAATTGCTTTTCAGTTATGTTAGAATAGATCCAAGGTAACCTTTAGTCCAGGGCTAATTTGGTCCTTGTACTAAGGCAATACTCTTTTCAGAATGCTACTTGGTACCCCATGTATTAAGGAGATTTTCCCACTCTGGCTGGTAGAAGATGAACGACTCCTAGCCATGTGTGAGCTCTGAAGGGTTTATTTGCCTACTCCTTTGGTGATTTCTTCCTTGGCTTCAGTAGCTTTTTCATATGTATGCCTTGATCATTACTTAATCAAAATTTCGAGGGCATCCTTCTGCAGATCTCTGGACCATGCATGCTCTCTCTCTCTCTCTCTCTCTCTCTCTCTCTCTCTCTCTCTCTCTCTCCCCTCTCCTCTCTCCTGTGCAGTAATGTCCTTTCAATATCTTGCCATTCAAACTTAGTTTCTTAGGCTTTGCTGAACTCTGAACTCAATTCAAATATTTTTTCCATCCTCTTTCCTCACCCCCACCTCCCAGGCTTTGCCTTCAGCCACGAATTTTATTTATTTACATCCTGTGATGGGAACTTGAGCATGGACCATAGAAGCAGTCCTTCTCACATAGCCACCTGGCTCTTGGTTATTACAGAGCTCTGGGGCTGCTTGATGCTGTCCATAACCTTCACTGAATCTTCAGGAATGTGTTGGCTTCACCAGCTTGACTGCAGTCAGCCAGATTAGAAGAACAAATGGTCTGAAGTCATAGCTGAGGTCCTTAAAATATCAGATGACTAGAAGTAATATATTTTTGACTTTGACACCCATGATGGATTTATTTTTCTGTCATATTTATTTTCTTAGTTGTTTTACTTGGTTTGGTGATGGGTAGTGCATTCTATAGCCCAAATGTAGGATTTTCTACAGAAAAACCTCAAAGTGAATGATCTACTCACAAAAGATTGGATATAAACAACATAGTACAGCTCTGTCCTCTGCAGATGTATCATTAAGTTCTCGGGAAGATGCTCTTGTTAGCTTGTAGGCTCTCACCGTTTACTTTCAACCTGCTTACTGTCTAGGATTAAATGGCTACAGGATGGGAGTCAAAGCCTCTTTGGAAAATTGCAAAATGATTGCATCTACATTCTCATTGACACGTCTCACTCAATGAAGAGCAAACTGGATTTGGTGAAGGACAAGATCATTCAGTTCATACAGGTTAGATGGAACTGTCAGATTCATGCATTTACAGTTTTGTGTTATCATAAATGGATCACCATGAAGCATCACTTGTGATGGTTATGAGCAGTGGACAGGGGCTTGTTGCACTAAAAAGTCCCTAAGACACTCAAATTCAGAGAAAGGCTCCCTTTTGCCAGTTAGAGAATCATCAGTTCTCCTTTGCAAATAGACCCTTTCGCAGGTGAATTATTTCTGCCACGCATGAGTTGCTTAAGGGAGTTGCTATATTCGTTGTTCAGGTTTTCTCTGTACTGAAATTGGTGGTGTACACACACTTCCGTTGTCTTCCAGATACTCCTCATTTTAGCACTTTTAATTTCAAATGTTGATTAGGGATACTGTGTGCCCTGGCGCATGGGAGGAGGGCAGGCTGGTGTTTAGAAGCTTCCAGTTTTTATTCTGCCTGTGCTGCCTGTGAGCTGTGTGACCTGAAGCTCAAGTACCCTAACTCCTAGTGTCCACACCTGCCAAATCCCATCACAGTACTGTGTGAGTTTGCAGTATTAATGTAAGTGTTAACCGTAGAAATAATAGTGGGGAGTGTTTGAGAAATACAAAATACACTTTTTAATTTAACAAAGCTCTGCTAGAGAAATATGAGCAAGTGAATAAAGTTGTAACTGAATAATGGCTTTACCCAAAAGATAATGACTGAAGTGATGATATTGTTTTAGATTTTGTTTCCTTAAGCATATTGTGTTTGGTGTGCTTATTTGGTATATTAGTAATGTTAGTATTAAAATCAATATTTAATGTCACATCATATCTATAAACTTTTAGATATATGTGACATATATAATGTATATTCATACAACCATATATACATTTGTAAAGGTCTTAACACACAAACTGGATAAATTTTATTTAAATGCCCTTGTACTAGATAGGATATTCTCTATTGAATATAAATTTTGCTTCTTGAACTGAAAATAAATATCACAGTGATTAAAATATATCAAACTGTGACCTACCCTAACCCTTTCTTACATTTGAGTGCTTTTATGGTTAAATAATCACTGTTTCTTTTAGGAACAGCTGAAATATAAAAGTAGGTTTAATTTCGTGAAGTTTGATGGTCAAGCAGTTGCTTGGCGGGAACAACTTGCTGAAGTCAATGAAGAGAATTTGGAACAGGCTCAGTCCTGGATTAGAGACATGAAGGTAAGACGGAGACTAAGCTGGGAGAAGCCTAGGGGTCTCTCACCTGTGTACGGAATTTATTCACAGGACAGACATTCTTGAGAGATGTTTTGCACTCCCAGGATGGAAGTGGCTTGGCATAGGTTTTCGTTTTGCTTGCAATGGTCACGTTAATCCAATCTCATTTGTCAACATCAAAAAGTTTAGATGAGCCTCTTGTTCTTATCTATTCACAGTTCTCTATTTCCAGCTCTACCCTTGCCTCAGGTTGCAGCCCCCTTATGAAAACACATTTTGGAACAGATTTTTGTTTTTTGTTTTGTTTGTTTGTTTTTTTGAGATGGTGTTTCGCATTTGTTGCCCAGGCTGGAGTGCAATGGCTCATTCTCGGCTCACCGCAACCTCCGTCTCCTGGGTTCAAGCGATTCTCCTGCCTCAGCCTCCCAAGTAGCTGGAATTAAAGGCATGTGCCACCACGTCCAGCTAATTTTTTGTCTTTCTAGTAGAGATAGGGTTTCACCATGTTGGCCAGGATGGTCTCCATCTCTTCACCTCGTAATCCACCCACCTCGGCCTCCCAACAGATTTTGTTTTTTTACTCAGACATTCAGATTTGTTTCTTCTGAAATTTCATTATTGTTGCAAAAGATATATTGTAGCCATTCTTATCAGTGGGTTTGTTCAAAAGTAAGAAGCATGTGGAAATATACAGTACAATCTGAATGTTTAGGACTGAATGCAAGAAGAGAGCTAGGGCAGGAGGCTGTGGTCAGAAGGTGAATCATTTCCTCAGAAGTGACTGCTTTTGGCACTTATACAAACTATTGGGAAGGATTTTCCTTGCTGTAAGTTTTCTCATCTTGAACTTACCTTAATTTTTTATAGCATATAGCATTATAGCATTCCAAATATTTGAGATACACTAAAATTAAGACTAGGAGTTGTTCTTAAACAGTCAAATATAAGAGCTAGACATAGTGGTGTAGACCTGTACACCCAGCTCCTTGGGAAGCTGAGGTAAGAGAATCATTTGAGCCCAGCAATTTGAGTCCAGTTTGGGCAACAGAGCAGGCCTCCATCTCTTTTTTAAAAAAAGGCAAATATGTATCACAGACATCTTTAAAATAGTTTAATGCCTGAGTTTAGAGTCTTATATTTGACAGAAAGTCACAAATAGACATTAGCAGCTCATTGAGATGCACTAGGATTCCTTTGTGATTTGTTTTTAAAAATGGGAGGAGAAAATCTGTTCTATAAGAAATAATAATGTCTGTAAGATTTTAATTTAACTGACTGTCTTATCCTGGGAAATGATATTGAATTCATACTCAACTTGTTAAATTTCCAATTAACCAGTGAAGTTACTTGTGACATATGTTCTGCCCTTTTATTACACAATAATAGGAAATACTTTAAGTCAAGAGCTTACTAATTTAGGGTTTGTGATAACAAGATATTGCATATGTAATCTCGTTGAATAAAAACCATCATTGGGTTCTGCTTTATGTAAAAATCACTAGTGAGTATAGTCAGCCATCTATTCAGATTTTAGCCATTTGGCTAAAAACACATATTCCTATAAAGCATGATTCTGTTCTCCTTACAAATTTTCACTGATACACCCTTGCTAGCTTGCTGAATGTCCAAAATTCATTTTGAAAAGGACCAAGGATAAAAACGATGTGGTATATATACACAATGGAATACTACACAGCTTAAAAAAAGAAGGAAATCCTGTTTGCAACAACCTGAATGAATCTGGAGTACATTATATTAAGTGAAAGAAGCCAGGCAGAGAAAGAAAAATACCATGTGATCTCCTTATATTTAGAATCTAAAAATGTCAAACTCGTAGAAGCAGAGAGTAGAAGGTGGTTACCAGAGCCTGGGAGCAGAGTGTAGGGTGGGGATGGGGAAATATTGGTCAAAGGGTACTTAGTTTCAATTAGACAGGAGGAGTATGTTCTGGAGATCTGTTATACAGCATGGTGACTATCGTTAATAACAATGTGTTATATAATTGAAAATTGTCAAGAGAGTAGATTTTTTTTTTAATTGTACTTTAGGTTCTGGGATACATGTGTAGATTATGCAGGATTGTTGCATAGGTACATACATGGCAATATAGTTTGTTGCCTACATCCCCCCGTCACCTGTATCTGACATTTCTCCCCATGTAATCCCTCCCCAACCTTCCCACCCCGCCCCCACTGTTCCTCCCCTGGCCCCCTGCAACAGACTCCAGTGTGTGATGCTCCCCTCCCTGTGTCCATATGTTCTCACTGTTCAACACCTGCCTATGGGTAAGAACATGCGGTGTTTGACTTTCTGTTCTGTCAGTTTGCTGAGAATGATGGTTTCCATATTCATCCATGTCCCTACAAAGAACATGAACTCATTCTTTTTTATGGCTGCATAGTATTCAATGGTGTGTATGTGCCACATTTTCCTTGTCCAGTCTATCATTGATGGGCATTTGGGTTGCTTCCAGGTCTTTGCTATTGTAAACAGTGCTGCAATGAACATATGTGTGCATGTGTCTTTATAATAGAACGATTTATAATCCTTTGAGTATATACCCAGTAATGGGATTGCTGGGTCAAATGGAATTTGTTTCTAGGTCCTTGAGGAAGCACCACACTGTATTCCACAATGGTTGAACTAATTTACACTCCCATCAAACAGTGTAAAAATGTTCCTGTTTCTCCACATCTTCTCCAGCATGTTGTCTCCAAATTTTTTAATGATCCCCATTCTAACTGTCGTGAGATGGTATCTCAAAGTTGTGTTGATTTGCATTTCTCTAATAACCAGTGATGATGAGCATTTTTTCTTATGTTTGTTGGCCTCATACATGTCTTCTTTTGAAAAGTATCTGTTCATATCCTTTGCCCACTTTTGGATGAGTTTGTTTTTTTCTTGTAAATCTGTTTTAGTTCTGTGTAGATTCTCCTGTTGTCAGATGGGTAGATTGCAAATTTTTTGCCCATTCTTTTGGTTGCTGATTCACTCTAATGATTGTTTCTTTTGCCATACAGTAGCTCTGGAGTTTAATTAGGTCCCATTTGTCTATTTTGGCTTTTGTTGCCAATGCTTTTGGTATTTTAGTCATGAAGTCTTTGCCTGTAACTATGTCCTGAATGGTTTTGCCCAGGTTTTATTCTAGGGTTTTTATGGTGTTAGGTCTTATGTTTAAGTCTTTAATCCATCTGGAGTTAATTTTAGTGTAAGGTGTCAGGAAGGGGTCCAGTTTCTGCTTTCTGCACATGACTAGCCAGTTTTCCCAACACCATTTATTAAACAGGGAATCATTTCCCTATTGCTTATTTTTATCAGATTTGTCAAAGATCAGATGGTTGTAGATGCGTGGTGTTGCCTCCAAGGCTGTTCTGTTCCATGGTCTGTATCTCTGTTTTGGTACCAGTACCAAGCTATTTTGACTACTGTAGCCTTGTAGTATAGTTTGAAGTCAGGTAGGGTGATGCCTCCAGCTTTGTTCTTTTGCTTAGTATTGTCTTGGCTATGTGGGCTCTCTTTTGATTCCATATGAAGTTTAAAGTGTTTTTTTTTCCAGGTCTGCGAAGAAGGTCATTGGTAGCTTGATGGGGATAGCATCGAATCTATAAATTACTTTGGACAGTATGGCCATTTTCATCATAGTGATTCTTCCTATCCATGAGCATGGACTGTTTCTCCATCTGTTTGTGTCCTCTCTTATTTCATTGAGCAGTGGTTTGTAGTTCTCCTTAAAGAGGTCCTTTACATCCTTTGTTAGTTGTATTCCTGAATATTTTATTCTCTTTGTAGCAATTGTGAATGGAAATTAATTCATGATTTGGCTCTCTGTTAGTCTGTTGTTGGTATATAGGAATGCTTGTGATTTCTGCACATTGATTTTGCATTCTGAGACTTAGCTGAAGTTGCTTATTAGTTTAAGGAGATTTTGGGCTGAGATGATAGGTTCTTCTAAATATACAATCATGTCATCTGCAAATAGAGACAATTTGACTTCCTCTTTTCCTAACTGAATACCCCCTATTTTTTTTTCTGGCCTAATTGCTCTGGCTAGAACTTCTAATAGTATATTGAATAGGAGTGGTGAGAGAGGACATCCTTGTCTAGTGCCAGATTGCAAAGAGAATGCTTCCGATTTTTGCCCATTCAGCATGATATTGACTGTAGGTTTGTCGTAGATAGCTTTTATTATTTTGATATATGTTCCTTTGATAACCAGTTTATTGAGAGCTTTTAGCATAAAGCACTGTTGAATTTTGTAGAAGGCCTTCTCTGCATCTATTGAGATAATCATGTGGTTTTTGTCTTTGGTTCTGTTTATGTGGTGGATTACATTTATAGACATGTGTATGTTGAACCAACCTTGCATCCCTAGGATGAAGCCTACTTGATTGTGATGGATAAGCTTTTTGATGTGCTGTTGCAATTGGTTTGCCAGTATTTTATTGAAGATTTTTGTGTCCATGTTTATCATGGATATTGGCCTGAAGCTTTCTTTTTTTGTTGAGTCTCTGCCAGGTTTTGGTATCAGGATGATGTTGGTCTCATAAAATGATTTGGGAAGGATTCCCTTTTTGTATTGTTTGGAATAGTTTCAGAAGGAATGGTACCAGCTCCTCTTTGTACATCTGGTAGAATTCGGCTGTGAACCCATCTGGACCTGGACTTTTTTTGGTTGATAGGTTATTAATTGCTGCCTCAACTTCAGCCCTTGTTATTGGTCTGTTGATGGTTTCGACTTCTTACTGGTTTAGGCTTGGGAGGGTGCCAGTGTCCGGGAATTTATCCATTTCTTCCAGGTTTACTGGTTTATTTGCATAGAGTTGTTTGTAGTAATCTCTGATGGTAGTTTGTGTTTCTGTGGAATCGGTGGTGATATCTCCTTTATCTTTTTTATTGCATCTATTTGATTCTTCTCCCTTTTCATTTTTATTAATCTGGTTAATGGTCTGTCTGTTTTGTCGATCTTTTCAAAAAACCAGCTCCTGGATTTATCGATTTTTTTG